ATATTCGAGGTAACTGTTTTTTCAAATGGAATTATACATATTTTTCAGTCTATCATGATGAGCATAAAAAGACAAATCCAATGATATAAATATTGTCATTTTTTTGAGTAATTTTGATTTTTTGTGACTAGTGTTTAACTGATATTTTGAATTTAATAGTCTGCCACACAAAGTCATGCAGGAGTCCCCCTGCTAATGCACGCTCGGGGAAGGGAAGGGATCTTAGTATTCGAAGATTCGAAACATACTTCAAATATTCACAAAACTATTTAAGTGTGCTAAGTTTCAAGTTGCATGACACCCCATTAAATGAAATTGAAGTAACAAGTAATCTTATTCCAATACATACTACTTATGACAAATCTGTATTTTCAATCCTTAAATAACACAAAAAATATGAAAATGCAGAAGGATAACATCCTGAAAAGAGTTCAGGAAAAATCTGCAACAGTTTTGTGAATATAATATATATAAAGAAAAGAAAAGAAAGACCTAATACTCAGATATTATATCATTGTTAATTTAAAACTCTTTAAGAATGTCCAGAGCACCAACACTATTGAATATTTTAATAATTAAAAAAAAATACACAATCGATCAGTATCATAACATCTTGTTCTATTTAAACAAAGAGCAAGGTACCGATAATGCAAATAAGAAAACACTTCATAGCATTGCGAGGAAAGAAACTTACAAATATGTCAAAATTTTAAGAAAAGGTAAATTTGAATGCTGTGAAAATTTCTTCCTGCACTAGAATAGAAAATTTTAAAATTTGTATGTATCAAACTCTTTTCATTTTGTAAAATTAAGTTTATACTAAAAAACAAACCATTTAAAATACATCTAATTAAAATTTTGAAAGTACATCACATATATAAATTTTACATGTGAAAAAATAAAATTTTATTAAATTTCCAGTTTTTATAAAGTAAATTTAGCATCTTGTACCTCTTTTCTAGTTTTATTTCTATTAGTGAAGTTTCAACTCTTAAATACTCTTTTCTATACAAAACTTCTACTTTAAATAATCATGAACCTCAAGAATTTAATTACAATTATAACTAAATTATGGGAAAGAACAAGAAATCTTGCTGAAATACTTACTTAAGGCTAAAAATTTAACTGAATTCTATTAGGACAACTCTCAAACATGAAAAGGAAAATTATTAAGAAATCTTACATATATAGTTACATGTTCATTCAAAGAAAATAAATCAACATTAAAAAAAATTTTAAAAAATTCATATTTTGTCTTGGAGAACAGTAATTAAAATTTGACAGATTACACATTCACAGAATTTTCATTGGTCGTTATCTATACATTCAATTCACAGCATATAATTAATTAAAAGTGATGATATTAATAGTTTTTGAAAATGCACTCTTCAGTATATGAATGTTACACATTACAGTGCTAGGATAATTTGGGGATAAGAACATGAAGAGATTACAAACCCTGATGCCCTGCAATTTGATTGAAGAATAAATATGAAACATGATTACTTTCAATGAAAATAGTTTGAAAAAAAAAAAAAAAAAAATGATATCATTTCATTTTATCCTAATCAATTTTGAATATTTGTACCATGCTTTTTTATTCTGGTTTCCTTTTATCCAAAATTAAGTAAAAAATCATCATTGACAAGTCTCCTACATTTCCTATCTCTTTTCACGTGGCATTCATATTTTTCTTCAGAGATGAAATAAGATTAAAAGACAACAATCATACCTGAACATTGCTTGAATTCTTGTAAATGAATGCAATTTCTAAACAAGAAATACATTTTAACATACCTTGAAATACTTAGATTCTGGAAAACTTTAATATGAATTAATAGTTAAAAATTTACCAGAGGATTAACAAGTATATGCAGTGACACAATTTTCAGAACTATTTTGAAACGTAAGCATGTGCAGGTAAAATGTGGGTACTTGGCATTACACTATACTGAACCAAAAGAACCTTTTCATCAATGTCTGCAGAAGTCTAAAACATTAAATCTTTTCAATCTGGTCAGTCACACCTGTTTGAACGTGACGGATGGTCAGTCCAGGTCTAATCTACCTAAGCCTGAGTGAAAGCCTGATCCCAACTCCTACCTGCATATCCCTAATTCAATACATTTTCATTTACATTACAATATTTCTATATTCGTAAGTTGGGAGGTTATTCAGCTGTACAGCTGTTTCCCATCACAGAAAGAAGATATAGAACTGACGACAGCACAGAGATATCAACTGTAGTTTTTTATTGTGGCAAACGAGAGACGCATTACTAGAAAAAAAGACTACAAAATGAAAACAGCCCTGACAAAAATTAGTAATAACAATTGGATCAGGATCAAGACAGCAAATAAAATCAGATTATGGAGAGAACCACCATAATTCACATCTTGAAACTCATTTGTAATAAGTGAACCTGTTTAGTATTATCCCTTTTTTGGTTACAGGAGAAAAAAAAAAATATAGTGATTAGGGTTCTATTAGCTGGAGAAAAGGAATCACAATCCTTCAATGACGAAATCTAAAAAATCACGGGAATTCATAATTTCATACATAAAATACAGCAGATTTAATAGGAAACAATCACTTGAATGTGAAAATAAAAACAGATGAAAATATGAATATTATATATGAACTATGCATTTATTTTTCCAAAACAATGTTCCTTCAAAATGCCAAATAACATAGCCATTTTGTATATTAATAATTTAGCTAAGTTTGATGTAAAATTTAGGAATGTTAAACAGATATAATTTTGTCACAGGGCATACCTTTTCCTGAGAGTCCCCTGATATGATACCTTAAACATTTGTTCTCTCCCCAAATACTCAAAATGACATCCCAAGACATTACAAGAATTACTAGCATGATTATTGGAACAAATGTTCTAAGGTAGTAAGAGAGATGAAAAAAAATAACCTCAAAGTAAAGTCTGACCAGAAAAATCTAGCAGAAAATTTGAACTCAGAAAATAACTCAGGAAAATGCATTAAAAATTAATTTCCCCTCCACAAATGTTTGTTACTATGTCACAGGACATTCAGGAAAAAGTTCATAATTTCATTAAATACCCCCTTAACATCGAAGTCCACAAACATGTATTTTTCATTTAAAATGTCCTTGAAATCAACCTTTCAAACTACAATAGCATTGCTACTAAAGTAGAAAACAGTAAACTGGTAAAAACGTACATAACTGAGTTATTACTAATCATCAGAGTTCCATTTAACGATTGTGATAATACATTGCATATCTTTTGTGAGAGCATCAGAAGTGCAAAAACTAAACATATAGGTTTAATTCTTAAGAGATTACAAGTTAAGGCAAATAAGATATTAACAGTAGGAATCCACAAGTACTGTGCATCTGTGCTTATAAGTTTGGAAATGTAGAGCCTCAGAAAAGTAGCAAATCGTGCAGCACTAGTATCAAAAGAAATAGGGAAAAGGGAACCACTTTGTACCACTTCGTTCAGCATTTTGACAGATTTTGTCCATAAAGAACTATGTTAACATTTAATATTCTGTAAGAACTTCAAACAAAATAAAATACACAGAACTGTGATACAATAAGATGTTCCAACTAATTGAAGAAGCATACCAACAAAATACAAAGATGCAAACTTATTAAAAAAAGAAATATATATTATGATAAACACTTAACAGTATCTGACAGCAATGGTATTGACATGCATTCTATAAAAAAATACCAATAAATATATGAATGAGGACATGAAGAATGAAGTAAAAGGAGCCCCATTTTCTATAAAATCTATGATCATCATGATATCATTACAACTATTTTGGTTACCTTACAAACTCAATTTTGGATATTGAAATTTAATTCATTTTTAAGTTCACCACACCATTCTTAGAAAAATGGTAGGAAAAGAGAAAACAGCTAATAATTGATTGCACTGAATGACTTGGCAGGTTTTGTTTGCTATTATGACAATTAAAAACAATTATCTTCTTTCAATTCTTTACCTATTATTTTCCTCTTCATGCTTAAAAAAGACAGTGAGAAGCACTTACATGAATTTGACTTTTGTTAATGGAAGAATTAAGGGTCATTACATCAAATTCATTCTGGAATTTCTTAATCATTTATATTTGCATTCCTGAATCCTAGTTACAGCTGAATACATTAAAATCTTATAATAATACTTCAAAATAATTATTTTAAAATTACATTACAAAATGAAGCAATGAAAAGTACAAAATTCAGTAGGTTCCTACTAATGAAAGAAAACAACGATTATCAACATACTTTTTCAATTTCATCAATTTCAATAAAGAACATTTCTCAACAATTTCTTGCCTCAATTATTGTGTTAATATGCAAAAGCAAAACCACAATGTGCTTTGGAACAGTTGATTAATAAGATTAATTTCAAGAACTTTTTGTTACATTTGTTACGTCTTCCTACTTTTTTCAAAAAATAGTCTTCAATTTTTTCCAGAGGTTTTTGTCAACATTAAGTATTATGATGCATCCATTCTGGATTCACTCAACAGAACATTTTCCCCCATGAAAGAACTTCTTGTCTCCTCCAGTGTATTTGGGACAATGAGGGGCAGGGCCTCAAAATTCACTGTTTATGAAGTTCTTTGAGGAGTAAAGATTTCTAATACACAAGATGTGCATGATATAGAGCAGCTTTTCCTGAATCAAAATCTCTATAAAATAGGGCCAAATTAGAAGTAAGCAAAGTGAATGTCTCTGACTTGTTTTACTTATTTTCCATAAATGGATGTTATTTTGCAAAGGGCCAATTTTAAATATTTTAAATGGTTAATTCAGGTATTCAAATAATACTTTTTTGACCCTAAAAATGCACACTTCACATGGATGATAAATGATAATTTCATTTGCTCAATTAATTTAAAAGAATCATCAACATCTACAATACAGGTACTCTTATATTAAACAAGATAATTTTATCAATCTGTCAAAATGCCAAATTTCAGTAGGACAAAGGATAGGCAACTCACCGCTCGCGAACATTGTTGGCTTGCCGTCTCTCCTTCTCACGGGCAGCTTTCGAAGAGGGGTCATCACAGCCTTCCTCATCAGTACTGCCACAACAGAAGCACCGGGCGGCACGCCACATGGTCTCACATGTGTCTCACAAATATTCACACACGAAATTCCCAAACGCAAGTATATTGAACTTTTTATCTCAGTTTTATTCTTTCTTTTTTTCTTAGGTCAATAAATCTACATGCTATAATAATTCCTCAAATTAAATTGTTTATTAAATACATATTCATTGATAATTAACACTAACCATTCATGATATTTAAGCACATATGCTTAATGCACAAAACGTGAGTGAAATGCACTGATAATCCAATTAAAACTGAGAGATAATATTATTTATCTACATTAAAACAAATTATCTTGTCACACAACCCAATCATATATTTAGCCTTTATCATGCCACTTGCATATAAAGAGTTTTATATTCCCTCTAATTTATTTGGAATGGATTCAAGTGATGTTACTCACAATAACAAAGATCTGTAAGTCCAATAACTTCCAATATCTCACAGAAAATGTGATTAGTTCAGCCATATTCACACACATACTCACACAACACATATATACAAATGCATTTAAACACAAATTATTTAAAATAGATAAAATAAATGTTTTTAGTTTTTCACACCTCACTCGCTCATTGCACACTTCTGCACCTCACTTCAATCCAATCAACATGATAACTTTTTAAAACACATTCACTCATTTAACATCACACATTCACTCTACAAATAAATATCAGGATACTTACTACCTCCTTGAACGCTTTGATCCTTTCTGGACAGATGAAGAATTAACTGATGCCTGACCAGACGCGCCGGTAACAGTGAGGTCACTACCCCCTGGTTTGGTGTCTCCTGGCCCACTGCCAGGAGGATCTTTTCGTTTTTCTGCATTCATGAGAGAGACATTAATGTAAGTAAAACAGTGAAAATTGTATCCTACTTTAATCCATGAACCTTATAGTTTATTATGTCTTTTTCTAATACACATGAGGATGTCTCCACAAAATTGAATAGTAACTCGTCTACAAGGGGATGTAAACTATGTACAGTTAACTCCCTATAATAAACTACTTTATATATAAAATAAATAAATAAAAATAAATTTAAAACATTTTTAAAAAAATTATACAACCTCAATTAATATTTACTAGCTGTTTTCAAAGAGCTTTGACAATGCATATTCGTAATACTAGCCATCAACCAACTTTTGATCTGTGAACATTCTCAGTGAAAGAAAAACTATAAATTATTGATAACATTGAAGAATTATTGATAACATTCCTTCAATACACACAATAGAAAAAGGAGTCAAAAATTGGTGTTTGGGGGACGTTTCCGTCTCAACCAATCTACCATTTGAAAAATCAAAAAATAATTGTGCAGGTTGAAATTAATGGAAAGTCTATAAGAAAGGAAGGATGCGAAATTAAAAGATTTGGTTCAAGCAATGTAAAGATTGAAATATAATAAAATTTGTGCATAGAAAAATATGCTAGGAAAGAAGAAAAAAATAAAAATAAATAATAGTATATGATTCTAGAAGTTGAAGTCTACTGCAATAGAAATATATAAATATAATTTGAACACGCACATTTGTGAAATTTTGGTATTTTTCTTGCTCTCCATTTAACAAAAACTCCCTACCTCTAAAGAAGGTACTTGGTCCCTTGAATTTCATTATAAAGAATTTATTATATAGAATATTATAAAGAATTTACTGTGTATTAAATCCTTTATAACAAAGAAGCACGAAAGCTAAACAAGAAACATTACTATAACTGTTAAAATGAGTTGAAATAAATTATGTGACAGTGATTCTTTTAATGCTAATAAAGCAGTGAATGTATACTGTAGAGGCAGAGGATAACATAATATCAAACACAATACATACAGAAATAAGATCTGAATTTAGCACAGTAAAACACTGGTAATCTGAACTAATTGGGAATGTGGCCTGTTAGGATTCGGAAATATTTGAAAAAATGTACTGTACAAATAAATCTATAGGATTATCAGACAATGCAATGTAGCATGCAATGTGAGATAATGGCAACATAACATAGCGATCACATCATCACATAGCATTATCAAGCAGAATCAGTTTCTTATGGCAAAAAATCACCAAAAGAAGATTGCCGATTTTGCACGTTTCTCGAAGTGAAAGTTATTGCTACATAAACAAGTGATATACATTGTAGTTACCAGTGCCACAACCGTTTCATTTTAAATTAAAAAATCCTTTCTTTACACTACAAATAAGCATTTTATTTATTTTTCCTCCATCACGAAATTGATACGAATTATCTGAAATTTCAGATTTGTGGGGTTCGGATCAGTGAGGAGTTCTTCTGTATTGCGATATTAAATCAGTGAACTATCACATGACCGTATGAGCCCACAAAATACTACATTAGTCAATAGCATTTTTGTTCAGTCCTTGCTCAGGTTTCATAACAAGAACAATATTCTCCTTAAACATACATGCACCTAAAAGAGAGACTATGAAGAAAGAACAAAATTGTTTTATTATAGAATATATACTGCATTACAGAATTGTTTAATAATTCTTATGAAATTTCAATCAGTCACAATTTTTTACATTCTATTTAACATGAAAATGTGTCAATGCTCATGATCATTTAATGCTAATGTTATATAATTAGTCTGGAAGGAAAAATTTAACTCTTGGTGTTATGATACCAACTCCACATAACATTAAAATGCTCAAAAATCATAACAACAAAAAGAATGAACAGAAAAGTAGGTACGCTGTCAATTATGAACATTATTTCATTATTAAACATCAATATTGATCCTATTAAAATCACTCATAAGCTGGAGGATTTGGGATTAACAATTTTCAACCTTGACGCAAATGGAAAGTGACATTTCAAACATTAGAAAAAATTAATATGACACAAACTCACTTGAAGCAGAGGAAGTAGGACCAGATAATCTCTCTATTTTGATTGGACCATCTGTATCAGGTGTTCCTGTTAAGCCAGGATATCCCGCTGTTGACTGTGTTGCTCCAACAGTGGATCCTGGTGTTCCAGGGTGAGGGCTAGGCTACAAGCAAAAAAGAAAGAGGTTTTAAGCAAACATTTTACAAGATTTGAAAGTTAAAAAAGGAAAGCAATGTCAGATTGGCCACTTTTCCTAGAGCAACTTTCTGCAGTTTTTCCTACTTTCCTGGTACTTATTTTCTGATAACATTTGTAGATATTTTACAATATTTAATGAAAATATTAAATAAATGAAAGACTTGGATACCGCTTTCTTTTTTGCACAAACTCTGTTTTCATATCACCAAAATGCTCTTAAAATGTTTTTAAAATGCCCTAAAAGCAAAGAAAAATGGTGTAAAAATTTGATCAAAAAGACTTCAGATGAACAATTCAGAGTTTTGGATATGTCACTGATGTAATCAAGGCTTCTTCCTTCTATTTTTGAGCAAAGAAATCGAATAGTCTTCTCAGGAGTTCTGTGGAGAACAATTGTCGCATCTTATAAATATTACTTGAAGCAAGTACCATTGAAATGATATTAAAACCAATGAAATCAGTTAAAAATGCTTTAGATTGACAAAAAAGGTAATAAATGACATATATATATATATATATATACATACACTAGTCGAAATCGATGAAAAATACAAAAACATAAAAATAGGTAATTTCCTTTTCTCATAGCATAAAATTAATGTATGCACTAAAAGGCAGTGATGTAAAGAGAAAAGAAAAAAGTTAAGTCCTAAGTGTAGTGCATGTGTTTTTCTAGAGATGCGGCGGTGATCTTCTCCCGCTGGATGGTGAGATCTGGTGGCGGCCTACCATCTGCTACCAGGGTTTCTCTCAACCAGGTACACGGTACTGCTCCAGCATTTGTCTGATATTGTTCAGGGGACCTCTTAGAACAAGCTAAAGCAACTGTAACGGAGAAAGAACAACATTCAACTTGCTCTATCAGGAAGAATATTATACAGCTCCGCAGCTTAGAAAAAAAAACCTGGTATGTGCCGGTGCGAAAAGTGGGGGAGGAGAAGGTTTCCTCTCTTAAAGGCTCAATTTCCAAGCCTTGAGGAGCCACCGCCGTCACGGCGGCCTGGGTCAGGGCAGACGAAGAGAAGACAGCCTGGCTTTGACAATGTCCCAAATCCTGAAGTGTTCAAGCTTGAGAACTAAGTTGCAAGAGCGTGTCAGTTATCACTGCAGGCAGTCCTTGAGTTTAACTAAACTCCCCTTTGGGAGGAGTGGGGGATGGCACTGCCTGAAGTAACGTCACAATGGCTTCTTTCTAAGTGGTCCAGCTATAGAAGTTTGTAATAATGACAATCTCTCTAATCTAATCTAACACTATTGACAATTCTTATAATATTCAATGTAAATATACCACATCTTTGCATTGTGAGAAGAAAAGAACATTACATCTCGGCAGGCACACATTTACTGCCAAAGAAAATTTACATTTTAATTTCTTTTTGTTAATTTTTACTTTCTTGCCTACTACATATTTACATAGTAAAGAGAAAGTAATGTAATGCTCCAGTGAAATGGGATGAGTTTTTAAAGAAACTCTCACACTGTATATCCCTTATATTGAAACAGTGGATAGTCCTTGCACCTTTATGTAGTAAACTTCCCCTAATACATTGGATAGTCAGAATCCACATTTTGTGTATCCTTGATAATGAAAAGTTTGTTCGTTGGGAAAATGGTCTGTTTGTGAACAATGCTAGTGGCTAAACCATACGGAGAATTTTAACCAAAAGTGATATTCACTGATCGATCTATCTGATGTCATGGTCCTATCAATTGAAAATGGATGTTTTGATTTCTTAGCAAGAAGCCTCCATGACATTTTCAAATTTTTCTCAAAACTAGCTTCTAATTTATGGATTACATTTTTTCTTCAATAGAGAAAAGTACACTTAAAACAAAAAAATAAAATCAAAAATCAAATTGCGCAGATCCTTATTTTGTTGAACACTGAATTTGTGAGAATCGCGAAAGTTTTATTTGCCTTCCTAAAATAACAATATTGAAAATATTTTTTTTTTCACTGAATCTGTTCATCAAAATTAGATCCCTAAAATAGTTGGTGAACATTTTTCTGAAAATATGAATAGTTTTCTTGCAATAATGTATAAAATATAAGCAATTTAAAAACATTAATTTACATAGCTGATGCTTTCAAAGAGAAAATCCAAGCTTTTTGTTGATTTTTTTTAAAGTCACCTAAAATTCAATATTAGAATGTCATATTTAAGAATTTTCTTTGGTGTTGAAGATTCACAGATACTATATCATGAACAAATAGTGATGAAATAAAAATTATTAAATGCAAAATGTCTATATAAGTCAAACAGTGGCGGCTCGTGGTCATTCCATTAGAGTGTACATCGGCTTTCTTTTCTCTCCCTTCTTGCCCCCTCTCTCTCTCACACACACAGGCATACATTACATGCATACAAAAATATATTCATTAACATAATTAATGACAATCAAACACTTCTGAAGTCTGATAGCATGCTGAACAATATCTTTCATCAGCAGTGAGGGTTACCTGCATTCCTTTTCACCTGCTTTGACTTTGCTCTGCAAGGACCCCTCCGAAATATTTACTACTCGAGTTGGGTTACTGCGTATCTACTCAAAATGTTCCCGAACCGCTTTTCCAAGAGTGTTAAGAGTTCTATGGTACAGACAGATTTCGAAACTTTTTTACTAGCACTTTTGCTATAGAGTATTTTCCATAAGCTCGCTGCATACAATTTGGACTAAAAGTACAAATTAGCGAATACTCAAAACAATCTAGATAATTTGCCATCTACACTGTGTGACGAAACACAAAGTCAATTCAATGCTCTTTCTTTTCCACAAATTTTTCTCCATGCTTAACAGCAAAATGAACAACTTTGGGTTTTGAAACAGTATTAAAAAAAAGTAGCAAACTACACACGCTTACAAAATCCATTTGGGTTTTCATTAATTCAAAATGAATTTGTAATTTCAACTCACTTCAAAATATAAGAGAATGTGCATATAATATTAAATTAACACAATTCTTAAGAATCTAACATTGTACAGTAATGAGTTTGCGTTTCACATTCTAGCGAAGAACTGTTTTATTTGAAGAGATGTGAGCTCTTTTCAGTGGAGAGATATATCACACTTCCTTTGTTCAATGTCACACTTACTTCTCCTACAAACTTTTGCTACCTGAGAGTTATATCTCTAAGACTGCCAAGTCATTCGCTGATATTGCCACTGTGCAGGCGCAGTGGTGATCACACACTCAGCCGAATACTCCTGCTCATGAAGCCACTGTTGTTCCCTATTTCCCTTCCAGCCCAACAGCAGTCTACAAAGTGCTCTATTCATTTGCAATTCCTGAGTGAGTGTGGGCAGGCTTTCACGAAGGGCACTGGTGGCGGACTGTCAATCGCTACTTCCGTATGGCGTGTGTTTTGAAATTCCATGTTTCAGAAACACCCTGAGAGGACTTCTCTACCTCTCTTGTCTGGAGATGTTAAAGAGAAAATGCACTGAATTAGTTAGGGTGAGAACATGCTACACACTAATAGACAAGAGCAGTCACTGAAATCAAATCATTTTTAGTGACTACAGAAAATAAAGTGACAAAGGAAAGTGAACCAGAAAAAGAGTGATAACAACAAATACAGAAACAGAAAAAAAAAGAAAGCTTATGTATTAACACTAGTTGCTTTATATGTTTCTTTTTTTCAACTAGCAAAATTACATATTCATTGGCTTTTCTTGTTTGAAAGCATCAGAAAAGTAAAGGAATAAAACAGGAGCCCTTAATTGAACAACTATCACAAGTATCAAAGATAGAAACACAAATGTAATAACCTTCGGGACCAGAGTTGAATCATTTTATTTTGCCCACAGTTCATCTGTGAAGGCAACGGAAGCTCTATCATAATTACTACGTAATTCTTCTTAAGCAATGAAGAGGGTGTAATTTACCCAACATAGAAGACATGCAGTTGCAAGAATGTGTTTGCAAGTACAAGTTTGGATATGGCTTGGGAAGAGATCTATAATAAATGTATGTTAGTGGAGCAATCCCTTTTTCATAATGAGACGATGTTGATTCATGGGCAGTATACACAATGATGCAATGAGCAGGAAAAAGAGCAAACAATTTTTCAAGAAGGCAAAATTATTGTGTGAGGAGAATCTTTATCCTCTCCCACTGAGGTTGGTCCAAACAATTCAAGCACGGACTTCTTCAATTGGGAACAATCCTCAAACGTGAAGACCAGTTGATGTGTCAACTACAGAAACTAATTATGGACGATTACCTAACAAGTGCATGCGTGGAATTTGTCAATGTGAAATTTCAGAACTGAAAGGCTTTTAAGATATTCATGTGGTATTCAGTTAAGTCAAAAATTGGCATGCGATATGCCCCCACAAATGATCATGGGAGTTTAGATTTCCAAAGAAAATCTTGAGTAATTTAACAACAATCAGAAACAATTCTTACCAATGACGGAATGTTGATTCATCACTGATATCCAGAACCAAAACAAGAATATGCAATGGTATCACAAGGTGCCCCCACAAAAGTTTGGGGATATTGAAAGCAAAATTTTTATCAACTATCTCTCTAAGAAGACAACAATAACAAGAGATTATTACAAAAACTTTGAAACGAGCAAAGTCAAGGAAAAACATCATAAGAAACTTAACCGTGCTCCTCTATGAGAACACATTCGTTCACAAGTTTGTAAAAGCAGTGTCTGTGATTTGCAACTGTTAATTTCCAGATCTTGGTCACCCATCTCGCAGACCTGATGTAGCATCCACCTAATTTTAATCAGTTTCAAAATCTTCAGAATATGTACATGAAGGCTTAATTTTGAAGACAGATTTTTAGTCGATGAAGAAGCCATCAGTGCCCGGTAGTGGTTATTGCTGTTTTTCCTATTCAAATCAAGTGAGAAATTGAAGGAGTGCAATTATCCACGCTTTTCCAGAAAATTGTAGTTACTCAAAAAATAGTGAATGAGATTTTAAGGTATACTAGTATACCTTACAGTAAGGTATACCACCACACCAACAACAACAAAAAAAAAGGCTTTACGGGGGAATAAAAAGTTTGGCAAGTGCAATTTTTGTTCTATTTGTAGATTTCTCAAAAATCTATTTACAGTGTAATATAAAAAAATAATACATAGTTCAAAATTTATGTTCTAGTGGATGTCCTTTCTACTGCATAGAAGTCAAAATTTCTAAGGATAAGGTCACATTAGGAAAAATTTTTCAAAATGCAAAACAAAACTTTTTTCTCCAGTGAAAACAGCAAACATTGGGGAAACTTCTCTTTATCTCCTAACTTGATTGATACAGAATGCTAATCTCTTATTTACCCATAAATAAAAGCGTAGAAGATTAACAAGAGTTATTTAATTTTGTTCAATTAGTATTAATAAACCAACTGATTTGTACGAGGTGTTATCATATGCCACATTTTCATTATAACTAAACCAATGTTTTGTGATCATACTGATGCAGGAGAGAGTGGTGCTCACTTTTAATTTACAATGTTTGTCAATGGCTTTTATTCAGAATTTCTTAGCTAAGATCTCATATAATTAAAATTTAAAATGATTTAATTTAATAATGAATTCTTCAATTAGTTTGAAACTATCCATGTAGTTTCAGCAAATATACTCAACTTGAAACTTCAAGCATTTCATTACAAAGGTACCCATCTGCAACCAATGGAGTTTCAGTATCAATTTGCAATCAATGCCAGGAAAACTGTGGCAATGCAGATCCCATTTAGATTTAGGATAATTTAGTTTGGTGTGTATTAAGGAGAAAAACAAAGTTGTATTTCCATTTGATCATTGTCATGCATCTTATCTGGAAAGAACAAAAATTGTGGCGGTATAGTGAATTTTGTAATGTTCATCCCAATTCTAGTTTCAATTTTTGTCATTCCATCTCATACAATTGCATTCACTGCTTTCTCCATTATCTTTCCTGTGTTTATTCGACCTTTTCCTTCTCGTTTTAATTTGGTGTTCATTCACTGTGGCTACATTCATCTTGGCCCGTGTCCATGCTGTCTCCTAGTGCCCCATCCATCTCGAGTATTTTAATGAGTTACTGGATTGTATTAAATAAATGAAGGCCAAAGACCATTTGTTACCTAATTCAATTTTGTATTTGATATTGCAATGCTAATTTGCATCAACTACACCAGTAATTCATATTTTTATCCCATTAACTTCAATAATTTTTAAAAGTTCTGTTCCATACACAGCAGTATCTCTAACTATCATTATATTAACTTCTCTTTTTGGAAAAACTTTGGTTTGTGATAAAGTTGTTTCAATGTAATCTTAGTTTATTTTTATTTTATTCTTCCAATTCGCTCAATGTTCACTATTATACTGTTATGTTTCTCATTGGAACAGAAATCCAAATCTAACACATCCTAATGTATTCAGTCTTACAAAGAGACATTTGTTTTGGGGAAATGAGGAATTAAATTAAAGAGAGTGAAAGATATCATCATCCTTTGAGTTTACATATGTTGACAAGTTTCTTGAAAAACCCCTTTAAAAATTCTCATATGAACTGCTCACCATGCCAAAAGAGTTAACTGACTGTGGCATTTTTGAGCATTTTGTCTTTTTTTTTTAATTATAATAAATCTAAAAGTAGTTTCATATTTTTTTGCACATTATTGGCATTTTATTTCTTGAATTTTGCATGCAAATCAAAATCAAAACCATTGTGTACATTAATCCATTTGCTAGTGGACATAAGATAAAGTTTTAATATTGTGGAGTGCGGAGTAACAATGTTACTTGCAAGGTTTCACATATCTGCAAATACAATGAAAATGAATAAACAGATATTCAAAATATTATAAGTAACACTCAAGTAAGATGCATGATGGTGCACAGTGAGCCTGATCTGCAGATATTGTTGCATTTTCGATACACAGGTCAATATCTGTTATCTTTTCTTGTAACCTTTCACTGCAGCTTTGGTGTCCTGGATGTGTGAAGTTAGCTAGTCCTCAACCACTCGTGCATTGAATTACTGTTGCTTTATTCATTGTCAGATGGGTGCATTCTGTGCTCTACATGTAGATTTATGTAACAATTCTTGTAACTAAGTATGTAAGTAGAGTTAGATCACACCACTTTGATGGAATAAAGCTTTTCATACTCACAGAAAGTAAACTCATTAATTCAAAGTGAATTCTGTTTAAAAACAATGTATGCCCCTCTTGTTAGCCATATTTGAGTATCCACTAATGGCCTACATCATTTAGTTTTCTTACCATGTAGTTAATATTCTTCTTCCTGTCTGTTAAATGTCTGATCACTGACGAGTGTATTTTTCTTTATTGCAAAATATACTAACTGGACCCATGCAAACTTTCACTCTGTAAATCACCGCTTTAAAAATGAAAACAGCTTTATATTGGTTATTAACTTTAAATAGCAAGACTGTAAACTGTACCTTGCATCATTCTACATTCAGTAATGTGTGTGAGTAAACATTCTAATATTAATTAATGTTGAGATTAGATTTCACAGAAAAATCAATAGAGTAATTTTATTGTAGAATATTATTTCTGTCTCCAGTCCTTTAATTTAATTTCATATAGATTTCAAGTTCCTGCTCTATATAATCACCCATGCTTTAAAGTAAGGATCCCAAGGAGAGTTAAATTACAAAAACTGTAACAGTAGTTTCAAACAGGTCTAATTTTGTACAACACTTCTTAAAAAACAAACTCGGGCACAGCCTAACCACCAAAACCAGTGTCCTCATAAAACTCACCTGTCCTCACAAAACTCTTATCCTACACAAAAACCCAGTTTTAATAGCCTAGGACACATTGTTTCCTAGTTATGCGAGATTGTAATATGTTGCAGTGATCACTTTCCAATGTCATAATCTGCAAACTTCTATTTTGTAATCTTAAATCTTTCAGCTGTAGGGCTGGGGAGTACTTCCTTATCCAGTAGTAGCAAAAGTACAGAGTTTTGTGTTGATTTCTTTTCTTTTTTCTTTTTCTTCTGGGAGGAGGAGGAGGAGGGGGGGGGGATACTGAACAGGATCTGATTCACTGGAAATTGCAATTACTAACACAGATTTTTCAGCCCTACAGTGGCAGCAGTATTCTCAAAAACTCTCTCCTATCCAAGTACTGATAACTCTAATGGCTAAAACAAGATGCAGGCTATGAAGTTGAAAATTCTAATGCGTTAATTGGTGAAATTCCTAAGTATTTACAGATGGATGAAGCTGTGTTTGGGATTTTCTATTAAGTGTTGAACCAAACATCAGCAAGAGCTTGATTAACTAATTATTATTGTATATTACAAATAAATTTAGAATTAGGAGCAGAACTCTATAAGTGCTTTTAACATTGTATAAATTAAACAAGCAGACTTAATGATCCCCTACTTATAAGCAACTTAAGTAATTCAATGCTATAGAGTATTTTGGGACTGTTACATCAATATATACAACCACATGATGATATTTAAAGATATGCAAAATGATTGATCCATCACAAAGTTTAAAAACAAAAATGCTATGTGTGGGAAAAATTATTTCCTCCAATCAAAATTAAAGATTTATGTTAAATAAATAAAATGTAAGATGAAAAACAAAATTTCAAAAAATAAGCAATAACCTGGAAAAAATAATGATATATAATAAAAACAATTGATACTAATTGATCTCATGTTTTGATATTCAAAAAATTTGGGGGTTTCTAATTTATAAAACCGTACAATATTTCGTATTCTTACTTTTCAATGCTGTTACCTTCTAAGGTTTCTTTTGCAAGATCTGAAGCTATAATAAAAGCACGACATGTCCATTTATTTAATCATAACTGTCACTAACCATGTGAGTGTCTAAACCTGGTCCAGCACCAGCAGTTGGTGGATAAGCACCAAGCAACCCATTGGAATGAGGAGGTGCACCAGATCCCAGACCATGCAGTCCTAAACCCCCAGCGGCTCCCACCGGTGTTTCAGCATGGTTTCGTAGGACGTTTATGGCATCGTCCAGACGCTCTTCCATTCGTGTACCCTAAAAGGAAATAAAAAAATATTTATATGTATCTATATGAAAACAAGATACAGATGCCAACAAAATAAATATTGAGGTTAATATTTCATTTAACCTTTTTTATTTTTTACTGATCAAAAAAAGGAGAGTAATAGAGAGGGGGGGAGGAGAGAGAGAAAGACAGAGAGAGAGAGAGAGAGGGAGAGGGGGGAGAGGAGAAAGAGAGACAAAAAAAACCCCCACACATTTTATGTAAAATTTCAGATTTCCTCAGTAAACAGAGTTCTTACTTCTCATAGTGTATTTTTTCAGTTTCATTGAACAATTACATCCCAATGAGAGCAGAAATTGAACAGCAAAGCATACCAATTAAACAAATATGACTGGCTGCTTCCAGCAGCTACAATTTTTATCTATTACAATGAGAAAATCTACAATTTCTTTCAAATTCCTAGTAAAGATAATTCTTCTTTCATGCTTTCGATACATTACAAGTAAATTTGAAATATTAAATAATATTTCGAGGGTAAAAAATAATAAGAAAAGAAGGAGATAACATGAAATTAAAAATTTAGCGAGTGTTATGTTCTTCTCGTGAGGGGTTAAAACTAAAAATTACCTGAAGACATTAAAGTTCTCTCGAAATGTTAAACACAAGATAAACTATGTTTGATAAGGAAGGTCCGTTACCTTTTTGCCTTTAGACAAAATCACAACAGCTCATCAAAAAAATATTTTTTTAACATTTTTACACTACATATCTTCCCTTTTGCACCATAGCCACAATATTTACACAAAAATATATCTGATGGGTCTGAAATTCAAAATACATTTGATAGGTGGATTTCAAAAATGTATTACTACTATTCATACTATACCTCTTCCTGAAATGAAGTAAATTTAGTATGTGTTAGTAAGCATTACTATACTACTAAAATTAATTACTATCAAAAGAATAATGAAAGTAAAATATTTAAAATATAAATGAGCAGAAAATGTAATTTATATCTAAAGCAATCAGGGGCACAAACAATATCAAAACCCCACAACAACATGCAAAAGTACTAGAATCTGAGATGTCTTCCTAGAACTATAATGAACTTGCTTACCTCTGCCTGATTACGGAGAAAGCCGATGGCATCATCCAAGCGCTGTTGCTCTGGTGCGGAGGCCTGCAGTTGTGGTGGTCGCACATGGAGTCAATGGTGTGCGTGCGCAAGGGGTGACGAGCCACACAACCGTGCAAGTACAGGGGACACAGACAGGGTGGCAGGCAGGCAACAGACAGAGTAGGGAGTTAACAACATGCAGTCAGCTTTTGTGTACTACTACATAGTTGTCAACCATGTTTCCTTGAATTTGAAAATGCTCACACATTTTGACAAGAAATTTATAACAAAACTTATTCCAATATAGAGCACAGAACAACAAAAAATAAAAATTCCAAAACAAAAACAAATGCAAACAATTTCATGCTATTACTTTAGGTTTACTAACCCAGCCATTCTTTATTTAAATTTGTGTAAGATGAGCAGCAGTGCTGAATTACAAAAAGTGCATAAAAATATTATACTACATCACATATGCAGGATGCAACAAAAACTTTGTATTGACAAAAAATGGGGAGACGGAGAGAAAGAATATACATAAAGGAGCATAGACTAGAACACTTCTTAGTATTTCAACCATTTTCTAATATTTCTGCACATTTAATAGTTTCTAATTGGTCCATGGATTCTCAAGTACATGAAACTTGTTTCAAACTGGCAACAAATTTAGGAGGCATGTGGGAACATATTTAACAGGGCAGACACTCAACCACTAACAGGAGAGCAAATTTTCCTGACTTTTCCTGATTTTCCATTTTAAAAAATTTTTCACTAAGAAGATTTGTAGAGATTTCACATTATTTTAAAATAATATTAAAGCAATCCCGATGCTAATTTGACAGCTCTCTGATTGCACTGTGACAAAGTACAAATTAAAAGTAATTCTCAACAAATAGAAATCGAGTCTCCAGATTTTACAGAAACTTTTTTTAAAAGAACGTATCTAGTTATATAACCACCCAACCAAGTATTCCTGACTTCTAACAAATTCCCTGTTTTTTTTCCCCAGAGCAATGAAATTTCCTGATTTTCCCCATTTTTCTATGTTTTTTCAGAAAGTGGCCACCATGCTTAACAACATAATCTCCAATTTCTATCTCTCTCTCAAATCCACAAAGGTTTGCCTTAATAACTTTGCTTCTAAATTTGATTAGATTTTTAAAAAATATTTAATTTGTGTTAAAGTGGTTAGCACAAATTTGTGCAGACATTTGATCACAACAGTAAGTTACCATGTCTAATCTCAAATAAATTGGTAGCTACTACATCAGCGTTTGCCAACTGGAGTGGAAAAGACATCAGAGCCGCCTTCCCCTCTGCATGGAGGCGCTCAGAAAAGCAGTGCCAGCAAAGGGGGAGAGGAAAAGAGGGGCTGACAACTGTAACTGGTGACGAAAACCTTTGCAGTGGGCCACTGCTGGTGTTTCAGGCTACACGAGTGGAAGATCATCTACACCCATTAATTTACTTTTGGTTTGGGAAGAAACTACTACTTTTGTAGATATTGTAACAAGTATTGTATCAAGTTGGCAAGCACTGTTTTAAATGCTCTAGATTTAATATCTACAAATTTGTGTGTACTTTATTTCTCACTGCAAATTTGATACAAGTATCAATTTGCATTTGCACATTTCAATGCACATTTGATACTAGTATCAGAGTGCACGGAAATAAAAACATAAAAAAAATTGAACATTGGAGGCATGGAAAGACAAATAATGTGGAAAAGGTATCCTTGAGTAGATAATATGCTAAAGGAAGTCATATTTTTATCCTCTGATTGAAATGTTTATCTTGATAGAATCACTATTCATTGCATCCAACATTTTAAAAGAATCTAATCACAAGAACAGATGGGAGAAAAAAATAGTGTGTAAATATGGATTTCAAACACACACACACATACACTTTGATATTCAAAGTAAGCATATTTTTAAACAATTGTTGCATTGTACTAAAACATGAACATGTGCTCTCTCTGAAGTTCCAATACAAATAAGAAACCGGTTGACAACCATTTTTAACAGTAGATATGCATACAGAAATATTTATCATAAATAAAATAAAACTAAAGCATGTAAGTCTATACATATTCACCAGTAATTGCAGTTTCCAGACAAAACACAAGAACTGATTCAATGCATTACTGAAAATTTTAACATGACTTTTTTCTTTAAATCCATAGCTAATAATAATAACAACAATAATAATAATTATAAATACATTTTCAATTTTGCGAGTTATTTCAAATATAATATCTCTGCAATTACTTATAGTTTTGCAAACGTAAAAATAAAAAAAAATAAGAACACTAACTACAAATGCTCGGGCTACAATACAGCCAATTAACATTAAAATCATTAACATAATTAATATTTAAATAGACAAAATGTCCATTAAGTACATTCACTATTAAAATACAAAATTTTAGCAATGAAATACATTAATGCACATGCAAAATAGATCTCAAATATTAATACTAATCCAAATTTTAAAAAAAATTTCCAACAAAAGATGCACATTAACACAAAGAAATCTATGGGGAAATAATTTACAAATTCTGATGATTGTTTGTGCGCAAAGTAGTATAAAAAGGTTTAATTTATATTTCTTTATGAAAAATTCAATTTATCATTATCATTATTATTATTATTATTTATGCATGAATACATATAAAATTAATCAGAAAATCTACTTATATGTAATGAAATTAATTACAAATACAAAGCTCTCTATACAGTACATTAATATGATCTACACAAAAAGTGCACCAAATAAATGTATTGATACAATAAGACTTATTGCTACACAAAGCAGCAATTTGGATTTCCACAGGGATACATCAAGAGAGATTTTTGTTTCTGTTTCAGACCTACCTGACACAACATAAGCCCTTTTGACAAAAAGACCCCACATTTACCAAATACCACAGTACAGCAATGGCCCACGAGATATTTCTACAGCTACATATTCCAATTATGATAGATAATGTGTATAGATTTTATATAGCAATTACAGATTACTAAAGATAACCCAATGGATATCGAGACCAAAACCTTTTTTATGCTTCAGCTCTAATATTTACTAGGTACACTATACACACTGAGACTTCACCTTACATCCCATTTAAGAAAAATTCACATGAGAAGAACATTTGTTTGTGTAGTATTTCAGCCTTTACAACACGATGACAAAAAAATTAATGGACATGATAGAAAGAATCCGATAACATCCAGAGCTAAAATATTTTTAGTATCCTACCCACAGTTCTATTGTAAGAATATCAATATGGACCACTATTGCACCAGTGGTTTTTGTTCACTGCAATACTACACAAGAAAAAGAGCACCTGACAGTTCAGATATAAAAAATTAATTTTTAGTAAATTCGTACCTTTATTCCCTAAAAGTACACATAATTCTTGATTTACAAATGAGATAGGTTCCTAAGAAGCATTTGAAAATAAAATTGGAATAACCACATTGAATTCAAACTATACTGAAGTCCACAACCTATATTATTATCATCTTTTCATCTTTCTAATTTCAGTGCAAGTTATATCGTCATTTTGTGTTCCTACGTCAAGGCTCTGAAAGGATACATACATGATTTACAGTTTACATTTGTAACTGTTTAACGATCTTATAGCAATCAGCATTCATATACAATTGACCTGTAGGGTGAAGATAAATGAAATGGAATGACACACACCTTTAGCAGGCTAACAATTGAATTCAATAAGATTTGTCATGAAAAATTATTGTTGCCATAGTGGTATAACAGTGCTCATACACTACATATTAATACTGAAATGGATTATATCACAAAGCAGTTACACCATTCTGGCAATATTTGGCCAAAATTCTTTAAAATAGGTACACAAATACACTAAAAACATAAGAAAAATATGCACAGATTAAAATATGTCTTTTATTTTACACTATTAAGGTATGCTTACTTCTTTAAACATATATAATGCATTAAATTACCAAAACGACATTAGTGTTCATTTTTCTGATGAAATTTTTATAATTATTTTCTCTTAATTACAAGAATGTTCATAAGTACAGAAAATGTTTGTTTTCAAATTCATATACATTTAGGGGACAATGTTCAAAAGCTACAGTTTCTTTTACAGACAAATAGTATGCGATTCAACTTGTAAAACCAACATATTTTTTTGTTTTTCTCAAACCTACATTTCAATTTTCCTAATTTTTTTTAATGCTACAAATTACCTACTGGTCCTGGGAAATTGTTAAAAGAGGTTGCCAGAAAATTAAATTTTAACGTGATGATTTTTACTCATGATCATGCTTTTAGTTCCCCAATTATCTTGGGCAACACAATGTAGTGTGTATCAGTATGGGAGTTTGTTTTTGATTCTATCTTCAAATGCAACCATTCTTGCTGTATTAATGCAAGTCACATCTGACCAATAATAATGTGCAGTATTGAGCCATATAATTAACCAGACACTGATGGAAGAATTTCTAAAAGCTCCATTTTAAACACTGGTTCTTGGCAGTGTGTTGACACAAGTTCTGTAGAAATCAAATTATCAACTCTAAATTCCTGTGAACTTATATCTTCAGCAGCATTATACATATTGTCTATGCTCAAGAAAAGTGATACATATATTCTGGATATCACATAAAAAAATAAAAGTCTTATTTTAATGAAAAGAAGAAATATATTTAGAAAACAATACATGTTTTACTACAAAAGATTATATAGAAAAGTTCACTAAGGAACCAAAAACTAAAGAAGATAAATTTTGCCTTTGGGCTTGGAATTAATGGCTTTGCTCATGTGAAAACAGTTCTCTTGCAAAACGACATTTTTTAAACATGTCACTTTTCTTGTGCACCAAGGATATATTCATTATTTTGGAGTAGATAATGAGGAGAGCCTCTTTAGCCTCAATGTCACCAAATCCTTGTATCCAAAGATACACATCTGATCACAAAACAATTTGTTTGTAACAGGCATAATGGATATGCAGCATAAGTAACAGTGCAGCTTCTTTCTCATGGACTCTCAGTCGTCTAGATACATCAGGGAATAGACAGTATGATGAAGTGTACCATAAGCCAAAACTGAAACACCCAAACTTAAAAGCAATTTCATGGTGTACATATTAGAGAAAAATTAAAAAAGTATATAAATATGTAAAATATGAACTTAAAAAGTATATGGTCAATCATGACACGTGCTAAA